CATCATGCTCATCAGGATCAGCCAGAAGAGGAAAAACAGGGGGAAAAGCACCTCCTGCGTGGGAAAAAATGGAATATTTCAAAATTCAGTATTTCAAAGGGTCAAAAAAAATTTTCTATACTCATTAGGATCATCCAGAATGGGAGAAACAGAGGAAAAACACCTTATGCACCAAAAAACTATGGAATATGTCAAAATTCAGTGTTTCAAAAGTTTAAAAATACTCATTAATGTAAAAGAATGTAATAGACCTACTATGTTATATAATATGCCTAGTTATAAATATATCATTACTATGCTACATAATATGCATAAATCAATAATAATAATATAATAAAATAATAATAATATTAAAATAAAATAAAATAAAATAAAATAAAATAAAATAAAATAAATAAAAATAAAATAATAATAAAATAATAATAAAATAATACTAATAATACTAATAATAGTAATAATAGTAATGATAATACTACTAATACTAGTAATACTAGTAACACTAGTAATACTACTAATACTACTAATACTAATAATACTAATAATAATACTATAATACTAATACTAATACTAATACTAATACTAATACTAATACTATTAATAATTAAAAATAAAAATAAAAATATAAAAAAAATAAAAATAAAAATAAAAATAAAAATAAAAATAAAAATAAAAATAAAAATAAAAAATAATAATAATAATACCAGCTGACCTGCACGCTGCTTTTCTTGGTCCTGCACTTGAGCAGGCAGTTCTTGAAGAGCAGCGCCCGCGTCTGCCGCCACACTCCCGCCCCGCCGGGCGCGCCCGGGGCCATCCTCGCCGCTGCCTCTGGAGAAAAATACTGATTTTGTAGCAAATGCCAAAATAATTCCAAAGCTGAGGAGAGAGACTGGAATTGGGAATGAGAGAAACTGGGAATGAGAGAAACTGGGAATGGGAGAAACTGGGAATGAAGAACAAGAGACATCGGGAATAAGGAAAATAGGCAATGAGAGAAACTGGGGATTGGGAATGAGAGAAACTAGGAATTGGGAGTGAGAAATATTGGGAATATGAGATTGGGAATGGAAGAAACTGGGAGTGGGAAAGACTGGGAATTGGGAATGAGAGAAACTGGGAAATGGGAATAGAGAGAAATTGGGAATAAGAGAGATTGGGAATGGGAGAGATTGGGAATTGGGAATGGGAGAAACTGGGAATGAGAGAAACAGGGAATGGAAGAAACTGGGAATGAAGAACGGGAGACATCGGGAATAAGGAAAATAGGCAATGAGAGAAACTGGGGATTGGGAATGAGAGCAATTGGGAATGGGAGAAACTGGGAATGAAGAATGAAAGACATCAGGAATAAGGAAAATAGGCAATGAGAGAAACTGGGGATTGGGAATGAGAGCAATTGGGAATGGGAGAAACTGGGAATGAAGAACGAAAGACATCAGGAATAAGGAAAATAGGCAATGAGAGAAACTGGGGATTGGGAATGAGAGCAATTGGGAATGGGAAATGGAAGAAACTGGGAATGGGAGAAACTGGGAATAGGAGAAACTGGGAATGAGGAATGAGAGACATTGGGAATAAGAGAAATTGGCAATGAGAGAAACTGGGGACTGGAAATGAGAGCAATTGGGAATGGGAGAAACTGGGAATGAGAGCAATTGGGGATCAGAGAAATTGGGAATGAAATGGGGAATAAGAGAAATTGGCAATTGGGAATGAGAGCACATGGGAACTGGGAATGAGAGAAATTGGCAATGAGAGAAACTGGCACTTGGGAATGAGAGCACTTGGGAATCCAACTGGGAATGAGAGCAGTTGGGAATCCATCTGGAATTTGGGCTGAAGATGCCTCAGGATGCCTCGGAGCCACCCCTCCACCCCAGGGCAGGACCAGCTCCAGGCCAACTCACTAGCCCTGACTTAAGCTTATTCCATTTCTCTCCCTGTGGATCCCAATCCCAGCTGCTCCTGGGGGAGCAGGATTCCAGGCTGCTGGGGGAGCAGGATGCCAGGCTGCTGGGGGAGCAGGATGCCAGGCTGCTGGGGGAGCAGGATGCCAGGCTGCTGGGGGAGCAGGATTCCAGGCTGCTGGGGGAGCAGAATTCCAGGCTGCTGGGGGAGCAGAATTCCAGGCTGCTGGGGGAGCAGGATTCCAGGCTGCTGGGGGAGCAGAATTCCAGGCTGCTGGGGGAGCAGGATGCCAGGCTGCTGGGGGAGCAGAATTCCAGGGTGCTGGCAGGAGCTGCGGGCAGGCAGCCAGGGCAGGCAGAGCAGCCAGCTGCCCCGGGGCTGTGCAATGGGCTGTGAGTAACCCCCTTCCCTGCTGGAGCAGGGCCAGCACCACCCGCTGCTCCTGCAGCCCATTTTAACCTTTTCATCTGCACGTGGCCTCAGGGAGAGGAAAAAGAAATGGAATTCAGAAATGGGATAACACGGGAAATGTTCTTCCCTGCACGTACCTGGGCAGCGATGGAGGGCTGGGGGCTGCAAGGGTTCTTCTCTCCTGGGTTTTGCCACCCTGACTGCTGCCTGAGGTTGGCAGTCAGGGGTCAGTCTCCATCTCCTTCTGCTTCCTCAATGTTGGAATGTTGGAACATTTCACCTGGGAAGGTGAGACAAGAGCAGGAGCTGCTCAGAGGGTGCCACAAAGCCCACCTTCAGCAACACCAGTGAGAAACTGCTGGGTGTTTGATTCTTTTCTGCCTCTGCCAAGGCCAGGATTGAAGCTCTTGGGATGGTATTTTGTGCTCAGACTCAGATGTTTATTATTTCTTGTCTAGATTACAGTCTCACAAGAGGTGAGTTCTGCAGTTCTTCACTAACAAGGCACAAAATGGCTATAACCATCTTTCTCTACAAGGCTTTTTAAGGATAAACTGTCCAATTAAGAAATGACACCTCAATTATTTTCACTTTTAACCCAATAACCAACCACCCCTGGCTGCAATGGGGCCTTTTTTATCCAATTACACAAAACCACCCAAAACCATGGAGAAGAAGGTGAAGAAGAAGGAGCAGCCTCTGCCCTAAAACCTCCATATTGCTTTATAGATATTACTGTATTCTAAGCCCTTAAACTGTGAGTTTTCCCCCCTGTGATTTTACACACTTCTCTCCAAACTCCACCCCCACAATCCCTATTCCATCATTCCATTTTGGAAGTTTCTCCACGGCCTCAGGTCAGTGCAGTGTTCTCCTGGGGGTCAGTGCCTGGCAGCACAGAAAGTCCCAAATTCTCAGTGACCAGGGTTCCAACAAGAAACTGAGTAATTCCTCAACCCTCCAGCCAAAGCACGGTGGAATTTATCCATATTCCAGCTCTCCAGCTCCCAGCAGTCCCTCCAGAGGCAGGCTGATGTTGCTGGTGCCTGTGTAGAGCATCTGTCACACACCACATGGCTCAAACTTCCTTCCCTGGCTGCATTTTAACAGGGAAATATTTTTTTTTTTGGAGCACAGACATCACCTCGGTAGCAGGACACAGGCAGTTCCTCAGATGGCAACACCACTATAAATACACAAATATTTTATACACAGAGCCTGCCTGAGCATGGGAGGGATGAGAGGAGGGAAAAGGGGATAAAAGGAACCAAATTCCCACTCCCAGACTGGCTCTGGGGTCCTTCATGGAGCAGTGATCCCATGAGGGATGTGGGATAGAATCAGTGCATGAGAATTTCTGGGAAGTATTCCCACCTCCAGCCTGGAGTGCTGCCCTCACACTGAGACTACTTCAAAAATTAAAAATAAAAAAATATTTTGCTTAAAAAAAAATCCAACTACCAAATGCTTCAACACCAAGCTATGATAGCAACCAAGCCCTGCAGGAAAAATCAGTACAACTCCTCTGGATATTTTCAGGCAAGAAATGTTTCCCAGTGACAGCAGAGTGTTTGAAAAATAATCAAAAGCAGCAGGTCTTGCTTACAGGTCATGAGGATTACTGTGCTTCTCCCCTCTGCTCACAGCAAGCCCTGCAAGTGCCACTGTTTGCACACTGCAAGAGCACTCCCAGCAACAGAAACACGGTTCTAATCCAGCAACCCCTTCCCTCAGCCACAATATTTTAATTTAATACCAGTAATTACTGTATTTTAATCAAACCCCCAAAACTGGCAAAGACGATTGAACGAGATTCAATCACCAGTGCCAGTTACTGTTTTTCTCTAATTATTTTCTATCTACTTCTAAAACCCAAAATACTCCCACATCTCCACTGGAACTCTGCCATGCTTTCATTTGCATCAGCCAGGTTGGAGGAAGGGTCATTTGAAGAATGTTAATTAATTTTTCATATTACACCTGCCACCTCCATGAAAGCCACAGAACGATGAAGGACACTGAAGAAGCATCACTTGAACGGTGAAAAATTATATTTGGGTGAGAAAAAAAACCCAAACAACCAAAACCCTCTTTGAAACTCCAGATGCAGGGAAGGAACACAGAGCAGAAAAAGCTGCCAAGGCATTTTAATGGATTGATAGCAGGCAAAATGAAGATAGCCTCAGTCTGTGAGAATCCTCCTCAGTCCAGGCACTGCCCTGTGATTTGTGCTGGGATGGGAAGTGGGTGACACACAAATGCTTGTGGGCATCTCAATCAAAGCCATCTCAAGGGAATGGCTGGGTTGGGGTTTAATTCCACCCCAGAGATGCCACCAGTGCTTTTTAAATCATGCTCAGCTGATGCTCTAAGGCCTCCCCTCCCTTCCCCAGGCACCAACCTGGCAATGGGCTTTAAAGGTCACACGGTGACAGTGCTGCACAGCACGTTTGCCTTGTCCTTCAGGCCAAAAAAACCCCAAAAAGACCCCAAAACCAAAAGAAAACCAAACAAGAGGGGTGTCAGCCACAGCTAATGAGCTGTGGTTCCAGGCAAAACCAACTCATCAGTGAACAACCCCGCAGAACAGCAAGAAAATAAGATTATTGATCTTGCTGCTGCAAGGCAGCAGCCGAGGTGCTCCTGAAGCAAAACTCTGCTGTGCTCTTTACAGCACTTCAATTATTTAAACTGTGACTATAACAACACACAATAACATCAAGGCTTTATGTGGTAATTTTTTAAAAAGGGCTGCATTTTCTCAATTTTCTGAATTTTCTCCATTTTCTGAATTTTATCCCGTATCAGCCCCTAAGGGGAACACCGGCCCTGCCCGGGGCTGCAAATCCCATCCCTCCAAACTCATCCCTGTTTTCCTGCGGGGAGAAGGAATGACACGGAGCAGAGCGGGTTGGGCTGTCCCCGCACGGCTCCCGCAGCATCCTCAGCATCCCTGAACATCCCCGAGCGTCCTCCTGCATCCCTGAGCATCCCCCTGCATCCCTGAGCATCCTCTGAGCATCCTCCTGCATCCCTGAGCATCCCCCTGCATCCCTGAGCGTCCCTGAGCATCCCCCTGCATCCCTAAGCATCCTCTGAGCATCCTCCTGCATCCCTGAGCATCCCCCTGCATCCCTAAGCATCCTCTGAGCATCCTCCTGCATCCCTGAGCGTCCCTGAGCATCTCCTGTATCCCTGAACATCCCCGAGCACCCTCCAGCATCCCTGAGCATCCCCTGAGCATCCCCAGCAACCCTGAGTGTCCCTGAGCATCCTCCTGCATCCTTGAGCATCCTCCTGCATCCCTGAGCATCCTCTGAGCATCCCCAGCAACCCTGAGTGTCCCTGAGCATCCTCCTGCATCCTTGAGCATCCTCCTGCATCCCTGAGCATCCTCTGAGCATCCCCAACATCCCTGAGCATCCTCCTGCATCCCTGAGCGTCCCTGAGCATCCTCCTGCATCCCTGAGCATCTCCTGCATCCCTGAACATTCCCGAGCATCCTCCTGCATCCCTGAGCATCCTCCCGCATCTCCTGCGCCCCTGAGACCACCAGCATCCTCCCGCGTCCCCACCGCGCCCCAGCCCCGCGTGTCTCACAGGGAGGACACTCCTGCTCCCCACATCTCCCTTTTCCCCCGCTCCAAAGCCCTGGAAAAGCGTTTTTCTCACCGTTCTGCGCCCAGCCCCGCCGGCTCGGCTGCCCCAGCCACGGGCACCCCCGAGCACTGACGCGCACCCAGCCGCAGCCCAACTCCTCCTCTTCCTCCCCGCGCCTTCCCCTTCCCGTCCCACCCGGGCCCGGCCCCGGGACCGCCCCCTCGGAGCGGAGCC